ATTCACAATTATTAATTTACATTTTTTTTTTTGAGCAATTACCATTGAAGATGATCTTGGATGAGATTGAAAAGAACTTTGGAAAAAAAATAAACTAAAATGATCCTCACATGAATTTAATTTTTTTTTTTTTACAGAAAAAAGTTATTGATTAAATATAACTTAACTATCAATATCTATATATATAAAAACAGAGGATGTATATATATATATATATATCTGTCTGAATGTCTGCCTGTCTGTGTGATATACATTTTCACTCGAGATCCATCCAACCAATTTTAACCAAACTTGCCATATATATTGTACCATGCAAGAGATAGGTTCTTAGTGTAAAAATCGATAGTTTTTAAGAAATCAATAATCGATAAAGCTGATCAAATATCGATAAATTCAACTTTTTTCCTCCGATTTCGTTCAAACTTGGTATGTACGTTACTTACATCATGACGAGCTCAACGATACCTCATTTTATTACAACGCCACAGCGTTTAGCGAAAAAGCAAAAATCGATTTCAAGACAAATTTTAAACTAAAACCTCCCTCAAATTTCAAGCAAACTAATGCTAACTTCACCCATTTGTAGCCAACAAAAAGTTAATCGTTTAACAATCCTTTAACTTGATAATTGAGTCCACTCATATCGTGAAAACCCGCGTAAATAGCGAAAAATGGTGATTATTACTGTTTTTTTTCTTATTTTTCGTTGATCTTCCAACCTGTTTTCATCAAACTTAACAATTGCTTTATAAATGTATCCTCTTTTACATCCCTGGTAGCACACTGACAAATTGAATTTCAAAAACTCCAAAATAATTGTGGTCTGAAGTGGGTCTTCATGTTGCCTGTTTTACCCCTTCATGTCCTCGGCTAACTTCGATTGAATAAATACAGACTACTTCTGTTATATCAGTAACTGCATTAATTCAAAATGTTTTTTTTAATGAAAGTACTTTAAAGTAATTGAAGAAGATAGACTCTGTTACATCTAAACATGATGCTGTTTTTGCTCCATTCTAATTGAACGCTTTTTCTGATCGACCAGCTGAGTATGGCTGCTAATGTTAGAAATAAAACCGTATTTAATTACAACCGCAAATAAATTTTTAATTAAGAATTTTTTTTTTAAAAGTCAAGATTATTAACCATGCAAGTGAATATATTTTTTAGTGTTTGAAATTGATTAATCAATCCGGTAAGTCCTAAATCAAAACCCAAATCATCGATGCAGAATAATTCAATATAATTCAACTGGATAGTTTTTTCCACCAAAAAAAATTGATATGAGCCCGAAATGCGATTAGCAGGTCGGGAACACTAAAATCAAGCAGACGCAGAATTTTAAATATTTAGGAAACGTTTTGACAGTGGACGGCAAGTGAGGCACTGAGATCCATCGACGTATTCGAATGACCAAAGACACATTCTAAAAGCTTTAAAATCAAAGTATCAAAGGACAGGGGGATATCTTTGGTAACAAAGAAAAGAATACTGAAGTGTTACGTGATATCTGTCCTCCTTTTCGGTAGTGAATGTGGGACGGTCTTCTCAAAAATGAAGAAGAGACTTAAAGCGACAGAGATGTGGTTCTAAAAAAGGATGCTCGGGATATCATGGACCGAGACTTTAAAAGCAATTTGGAATGATATATTTTCTATAAATTTTTTTTTTGTGTAATTTTTAAAAGCTCTTATTTTTATATTAATTAAGACCGAAACTGAGAAAAATCGACGTATTAGAATAGTTAAGGAATAATCCAAAAGCTAAATAAATTTCATAAAAATGAGACAGAACTAAAAGACAAACAAGGAAATTTGAATACTTTTATGGTAACAATTTTTGTTTTTATTTTTATCAGCGAATGTATATTCCTTTTTTTTCTTGTTCTATATATATCTAACCATAAAAAGAATTTTAAGGAATTTAATTCAACCGATTAAATGGGCCTCTTTCAAAATGTTGGAAATCCTTATATTTTTATTTTCAATATAAAAATTGGAGCAAAATATGGTTTTTCTTTCAGGCGACGGAGAATGGAGTTCTTCATTTCAAAAGGATATCATGGACCGAGAATGTGAGCAACAATAGAGGTTTGCAAACAAGAACAATTTAAAGAAACATCAGGATAGGAAAAAAATAAAAGATTTCCTCTGAATGAAAATGAACAATTTAATGGCAAATGTTGGAAACGGATCTTATTATCAAAATGTTATTTGACAGAGGTCTTAGAGCAATATTCAGGTGGAGGCTTTATAATTAACATGAAATGTGGTTTAAATCAGAAGATTTGAATATAATATATAATAGATTTATATAAAAAAAGAGAGAGAAGAAATATAAAGGATATCATGGACCAAATTGGAGCATGAACAAATATGAGGTCTTATGATGGTTGAGCTATTTAAATAAACAAGTTCAAATGTTGAAAGATTGTCTGAGTTTTATTTATGATCACGCTAAAAAATGAAGGGATTCAAAAATTGTAAGCAATTTGGGTCTTAGAAATATTGAAGAAAATTTGGAAAGGTGTGAATTTCAGGAAGATCATGAAGTTGGAAAGATTTTTTAAATAGGACTGTTTTATCGACGGAATTCTAAGGATGTAGCAGATATCATTTAAAGTGTGAGCAACATATATTTTTAAGGATGCAAAAAAGAAAAAAAATTAACAAGATTTTAAAACAATAAAAAACGATGATGAAAGATTATCTTTATTTGAAAGAAAGAAATATAGAATGAAAAAAATTTTCATTAAACCAAAAGTTAAAGCAACATCAGGAAGGGCAAAGTTTTTCATTTATTTTTGCGATGAACAATCTTTTGAGAATTTGTAGAAATAAATTTCAAAAAATGTTGAAAGAAATGACTTTTTTAATTTGTTTTTAAAACATGAGATAGAGAAAGATTGAAAACAATATTTGTTAAAGATATAACACCAAAAAAGCTAAAACTTAACAAACAAGAAAAATGGATGAAACAGGAAAAAAATGGGTCTGGGGACCGAAGATGTGCTTAAAGAAAGAGATATTGGAATCGTGTGAACAAATATATGATGATGAAAAAAAAAACATAAGGAAAGAAGCGAAAGAAAGAAAAAATAAGAAAGACATCCATGATTTAAAAAATCAAAATTAAAAAGGATATCATGGACCAATGTGAACAAAATCTTGAAAATGCAAAAAGGTAAACAGAAATAAAAATTTTGACTTTTTCCTTAAAAAGAGAAAAATGTGGTTTACAAAGGATATAAATATCATAGAAATAATGAGGAAGGAGGATATTTAAATGGATTTGAAAGATTAATTCAGAAAAACGAAATAGACATTGAAAATTGATATTTTTCTGAAGAATAAAGAATCTAAAGAAAGGGAAAAGAGAAAAATAACTTGACATATGATTTTATAAAAAAATGACATACAAAAGAAAGAAAGAAAATTCCAAATATATGGATATTTGAATAAACAAAACGATTTTGGGGATAATGGAACACAAATCAGAAAAAAGAGGGAACAAAATGAATAATCTTACAAAAAGAAAAGAATGATTTAAAAGTCTTGTTAAAGAAAATGGATGACAAACGTGGTATTTTTATTGATAATTTGTTGAGGAGTTTGTTGATTTCTGAAAAGGATTTACATGGAACATAACGTCCTGATTTTTTTCAAAAAAGAAAAAAAAAAATAAATTAAACACCTCAAAATCTTTACTAAACAATGAATAGGGAAATGATACAACGCAAGTGTCATACCTGGCGGGCTTATTCAGAAAGAAAGAAACATTTATTAAAAGAGGGATTTAAAAAAATGGCAAGAATTCAACAAACATAAAGAAATACATTTTAAAAATGACATTTAACTAAAGAAAATTTTTTTTGAAAAAAATAAAAGAAAAGCAAAAGAAAATTTGACATTCTGATGTGAATAAAACTGGCGGAAAAACGGTATTGTGGTAAATAAAAGAATTTTTCACAGTTAAAATATAGTAAAATGCCTTCAATCCTTTTTCTCATTAACCCATTAATGCCAAAATTTTTTAATGCGCATTTTTAGCCCAGACAGGTGTCTTAGAAAGTTTATTTATTCCTTATGTTTAATTTCAGTAGTTACCATTGTCGTCTTTATAGAAACTAGAACATCAAATATATATGTGTATAAAACATCAAAAGTAATATTGATTAGAAATAATGAAAAATACTTTTCAAAATAGTCATTATTTTTCTACTCAATGAAATGTAAAATTACGACAGAAAGTGTCTTCTTACGGCTAATAATAAAACTTTAAAAGGCTAAGTGTTGTAAAATATACCTCTGCAAATGCAATGTATGTAAGCAATTCAATGAAAAAATGCAAGGAATAATATGGAGTGAGTTTAATTTTAACAGATCCCCAAATGAAAATTCATGACAGGTAATTGTTTCTTTCTGAATAATTATATAGATAGATAGATAGAAGAAAAAAAAATAAATTCTAAAAGGGTTAGAAAGAGAAAAGAAAGAAAGAAATTTTTTGAATGAAAAGAATTGTATAATAAATATATATATAATATATAAAATATATATATATATATATATAAATATAAAACCATATCATAAAAAACAACATTTGTCTGACAAAGAAACGAATGTTAATAAAGGAAAAAAAGAATAAATAAAAAATAAATATATATATATAAATATATATATATATATATATATATATATATATATATGTCCGTCGAAAAAAAAAAAATTGAGAAAAGAAAGAAAGAGTACAATTTTCTTATTATTTTCATTCAGAACACACACACGTGCGCGTGCACAGACACACACAAACACATATATATATATATATATATATATATATAAGAGAGAGAGAGAGAGAGAAAGAGAGAGAGAGATAAGGTTGTATTTGATGTTGTTCAAAAGTCGATTACAGCAGAATTCTTACCGACTAATTACAAGATTTGGTACTATGCTTTAACCATAGAGCTATGCCTACAAGTGTCATCTACCAATATGTCGTTAATACTGTGTTGAAAAAGTTTCACGAGTAACGCTAATAGCAGAAATAAATATGGAAGCAGTACACAGTGGCGCCTCAGTTATTTTGAATAATATACAGTTGAATAGTGACAAGACAGTTCTCGTATGTGGAGAAAAAGAAAAAAAGAAAAAAAAAGAAATAACGAGGAGAAATGAAAGTTCTGAGAGATAGATAGATAGATAGATAGATAGATAGATAGATAGATAGATAGATAGATAGAAACGGAATGAAATAGCTACAAAGAAAGATAGAAATGAATATCGATAGAAATGAACATAGAGAGATCGATCGAAAGATAGAGAGGGTGATAAAGATAGATAGATACAAATGAACATAGAAATGAACATAGATAGATAGATAGATAGAAGATAGATAGATAGATAGATAGATAGATAGATAGATAGAAATAAAAAAAGAAAGAAAGAAATGACGATAGATAGATAGATAGATATAAAGAAAGAAAGAAAGACAGAAATGACCATAGATAGATAGATAGATATAAAGAAAGAAAGAAAGAAAAGAAAAAAGAAATGATCATAGATAGATAGATAGATAGATATAAAGAAAGAAAAGAAAGAAATGACCATAGATAGATAGAAAGAAAGAAAGAAAAAAAAGAAAAAAAAAAAATAGATAGAAAAAAAAGAAAGAAAAGAAAGAAAGAAAGAAGAAAGAAAAAAAAAAAAAAAAGAAAGAAAAGAAAATAGAAGATAGATAGAAAGAAAGAAAAAAAAAAAAAAGATAGATCATAGATGAAGATAGATAGAAAAAAAAAAAGAAAAAAATGACCATAGAAGAGATAGAAGAAAGAAGATAGAAAGAAAAAAAAGAAAAAAAGAAAGATAGAAAAGAAGAAAGACCATGAAAGATATAGATAGAAAGAAAAAAAAAAAAAAAAAAAAAAATTGATCATAGATAGATAGATAGATAGATAGATAGAAAAGAAATAAATGAAAGAAAGATAAAAAGAAAAAAAAAAAAAAATGAATGAAGATAGATAGATAGATAGATAGATAGATAGATAGAAAGAAAGAAAAAAAAAGAAAAAATAGAAAAGAAAAAAAAAAAAAGAAAAAAATGATCATAGATAGATAGATAGATAGATAGATAGATAGATAGATAGAGATGATGAAAGAAAAAAAAAGAAAAAATGTCATAGATTCATAGATAGAATAGATAATAGAAAGAAATGACCATAAAAATAGAAAGAAAGAAAGAAAAAAAAAAAAAAATGATCATAGATAAAATAGATAGATAGATAATAGATAGAAAGAAAAAGATAAAATAGAAAAAAGAAGATAGAAAAAAAAATGAGAGAAGAAAATAAAAAAAAAAAAAATAAAAGAAAAAATAGATAGATAGAATGAAGAAAGAAAAATATGATATATAGATAGATAGATAGAAAAATAGAAAAAAATAGATAGATAGAAAGAAAAAAAAAAAAAAAAAAAAAAAATGATATAGATAGATAGATAGATAGATAGATAGATAGAAGATAATCCCATAGATAAATAGATAGAAAAAAATGACCATAGAAAATAAATAGATAATAAAGAAATGAAAAATGTTTTGAATAAGATAAAGAAAAAAGAAAAAAAAAAAAAAAAAATGATCAAGATAGATAGATAGATAGATAGAACGAAATGATAGATAGATAGAAAAATGGAAAAAAAAAAGAAAGAAATGAAAATAGATAAATAGAAAGAATGAAAAAATGGAAAAAAAAAAATTTAAAAAAAATCAAAAAATAATAGATAGATAGATAGATAGATAGAACGAAATGACCATAGATAGATAGAATGAAAGAAAAAAAAAAAAAAAATGATCATAGATAGATAGATAGATAGATAGATAGATAGATAGATAACGAAATGACCATAGATAAATAGAATGAAAGAAAGAAAAAAAAAGAAAAAAAATGATCATAGATAGATATAGATAGATAGATAGATAGATAGATATAATAGCAAGATAACAATGAAATCAAAGATAGAATATTTTTAAAAAAAAAAAAAAAAAAAAAAAAAAAAATGATCATAGATATAGATAGATAGATAGATAGAGATGACAGAAATGACAATAGATAGATAGAAATGAAAGAAAAAAAAAAAAGAAAAAAAATGATAAAATAGATTTAGATGATTAGATAGAAACGAACGAAATGACCATAGATAGATGAAGAGAATTGATAGAAAAAGAGATAGCTTATCATAGATAGATAGTTAGATTTAGATGGATAGATAAATTTAAACATAGAAATGAACATAAATATATAATAGATGGTCGAAAACATCCAAAATGAATTTTCAAGATAGATAGATCAAGATAGATAGATAGATAGATAGATAGAAAAGATTGATGAACAGAATAGATATATACATATATATATATATATATATATATATATATATATATATATATATATATATATATCGGAAAAGAACCTTCATTTTTTATCATTTCTGATAATAGATAATCTCTATACACGGTACGATGGATAAATTATCGTCTAAATGACACAAAAAATGAAAATAACACTGACGTCGCATTTAAGCACATATATTTACCAAAATCACACAAAATACCTTGAAATACGAAACAGTATATTTATTCAATAAAATCGCCATTGCCTTCGACCACAGCCTCAAGATGACTTCTATATCTTCTGAATCTCGTCTTACCAATCTCGATTTTGGTGAATGCTGCCATAATCATTGCCTATAGTTAATCTCGGTTTTTAAAAGGAGGTTTTTGGTCTCTCGTTCAACTGCCCCTTACACATAATAATCGATGGGGTTGCAGCCTGGAGAGTTAGCTGGCCAGATGTATGTGGTGATGTAGCCGAAAATTGTCTGACAGTTTGGACTGCATTCTCCTGCTTTCTATGACATGGTTTAAATCCAAAGTCCTGTTTTGTACATCAAGTAATCAGCAGTCACCCTCTCTTGATTCAGGCGAACATGAATTTTTGCAAGGAATTTGATGTATGCCTACGAAAAAGTGTTTGAAATGCAACTATTGCTCATCCATTGTTGAATTGAATTAAACCGATTTTTCGTAATCACAATTTATGAACTCATCCAACTTGTATGACATTATACTGCACTCATTTAAAGAAAGCACTAAGAAATATTCGTATTGGAGATTCAGGAATAAAAACCAATATATAATTTGTTTTTAAAAACTGCTGACAGAGTGAACTGCGTCATGGTGTAATTTTCTCACATACGGTGCTCAACCGATTGTTTTTAAATATAAATTTATATCTACAATCTCAAAACATTTGGCAAAATTCACTCATCACATATTGAATATTTATTTTATGTGCGTTAATTTACCCACGCACGCATGGACTCTCCTAGCTATAAATAGGAGCAGGTACTGCCTTTTGGAGAGGGAATTTTCCATCAGTCAGCTGTGACAGTCACACCGAACATTCTTGCTGTAACACTTTCGTTTTTATATGTTTTTATTACTGTTTCTTTAATATTTTTTTTAACTCTATTCCTCTCTTCGTGTCTTTATTTCTAAAGTGCCCCTAACAAGGCAACAACACACACACACACATAAATTACACACATTTTTATTGATCAGGTTATATACATTAATATATATATATATATATATATATTATATATATATATATATATATATATATATATATATATATATATATCCCAAAAATTTATTTAATTTTTTATTTTTAAAATCAGATCAGTTCCCAGGAAACCGACAGCCCGACAAACAACACATGAGATTTGATTATAAAGGTGAAGGTTTATTGCAGGACCATCCACACCTTTTGATGGGCCGAAAAGAGAGAAAAATGGTGCATTCAATTACTAGGGTCCCCAAAAAACCCTCTGCAGGTTTTGAATTCAGAGTTGTCATTCTCCTAAACCATTTGCCATATAAGGCTATATACCCAGTCTGTCCTGCTATTTATGAATAGCTGAATTTTTAAAAGAAGAAAATTTTATTTTTTTCCCAAGGTTATTGAGCACGTAATGTTTTAATAATGGAAATATTTTGAAATCGAACTAGGCTCTCCTTTTTAATTCAATCCAACCGCTATTTATTTTACCTCCAAAATGCAGAAATATAGTCTTAAGGTGTTTTATTTATGGGATTAAATGCTCAATATCAGAGACACCGGTGTGTAATTTAAATTTTGAAATAAATTATAAAATCATTTAGAGGCGACAGTCTGTTTCATATTGGACGCAATTTTATTATATATATATATATATATTTGAATAATATGTTTTGATGGAGTCTGGTATGCTGTTGTATATCCAGTATAATTATTCATGAATTTGGTTGGATGGAAAGGAACAAACAATAAAGGGAGATGTGAATTTGCAAATAATAATAAAGAACTTAGAGGTGAGTTCTTGTTATTAACGATGAGGCTAGCAGTTTTCATTTTTTTTATAGTAGAATATTAATTCAATTAATTATTTCATATAATAAAATAATAGCCGTCTACTAATTAATAAATCTATTGCTGACGCTCGATAAATTTATAACATTTATGTTTGTTCAGTTTCTAAAAAATTGTTTTCTAAATTGATCAACAATTGAACAATTTCAGCATATGTTTCATCACCCTCAGGCCATGAAAAATGACTTGCGGCTTCAAACTTAAAAAATATCGACGACCCATTTGAGTTGTCGACCCAATTTAAATCACAAGGGGTTATGTTAAACCGTGTTCAAAAAATTTTTTTTTTCAGGAACTTTCCAAAGGTGCTTTTTTTGGGATAGACCTCGATACAGCCCGATAACACCCAGGAAGTCTCCTATTTTGTAACATCGATCATATGAAATTTTTTTCTCATGGTCAGAAATCGAACATTATAAATATATATATATTTTATATATATTTATAATGGTAAAGAAGGTATCAAATTTAAAAAACACGGAGACCTATCAAATACCATATATACATATTATTTAAATAATAAAATTATAAAAACCTCATCCACATGGGGAATATATAAAAATATATATATATATATATATATATATATATATATATATATATATATATTGAACAATAAAAAATTAAAAAATTAAAATCTTCAGACACACTGGGTTGTATATTAATATTCTTTCGTTTTATTATTATTTCATTTAGATTCTTCGACTAGTTTCGGCCAACATGGCCATCATCAGGAGAAAAAAAAATTTCTGCTTGTTGGTAGAAGTGAACTATAGAAATGAATGACTTGATGGAGAGAATGAACTTTTGTCTGTAGTTTTTTTTTTTTTTTTTTTTTTTTTTAACATGAATTTTGGTCATTCCTTGTGTTGGTCAAACAGTCTCTTTTTAAGTTGTTATTTAAGATAAGAGCTGGATGGATTCATGCTGCTCTGAATTCTTTGGTCATTTTGACAGTTTTATTGGTTCCTGGGAGGGATGTGTCTCTGTTAAGTGTGTGTGTGTGTTATTTGGTTCTTAGGGGTGAGTGAGTATGATGTCTGTAAGCGTGTATATTACTGTGGGTGTGTGTTATCATTTGGCTCATTAGGGGTGAGTGAGTATAATGTGTAAGTGTGTATATTTGTGTGGTGTGTGTATAAG